AAGATGGGCCCAGTTTTTTTCTCAGGTCCTTTCCAGCTTCAAATCTATGAACCTATGATCTATTTATCCAAAGGTTTTCTGTTATTACTGGATTAATGAATTCTATCCCATAAATGTTGTCAATACCAAGGTCTCCTTGTCTTTAATGAGTACATGATGAATAAATTCTGGCAATTAGACAGGGCTTATCATGCCAAGGAGGAAGAAGGAGCTGGAGGCCAGGAAGGTTGTGACGTGTCTTCAGAGTCATAATGAACAGGGGCTAGGGTGATGATATGAAGGACTCATTTCCTCCCTCCCTGCCTCCCCTTTCCTAACTGTGTTTTGGTCCAGGTGAAAATATCCCTAGTTTGATTCTGTTTATCTAAGGTCTCAAAGTCAAACCCAAGCCTGCTTTTCAAGCCTCCAGTCTGAAGTTCCATCTGTTACTTGATTGCCCTCATGAAACATCTTACTTTTCCTCTTTCTTCACCTCTTCTTTTTGCCTTTGTGGTAGAAGTAATTTCTGCTAGCATCCCTACCACATAGGCTAGACTAGCTTTTTTTCCTTAAAAAGCAGGGAAGCTGTGTTCAAGGACTTGGTGGGTCCAGCCCACCAAGAGCCAGGGCCTCACAGACTTGAGGCACACCTTACTGCCATCTGAATTATCATACTATTCTGACCAGACCTAATTCTGTATGGAGATGGGCGTCTATTTGAATCAATGCTGTATCCTCATTGAGAATCCTTTCCATGTTATTTTAAAAATATATATATTTCACCAAATATTTTTAGTGTTAACTTAATTTCTTTTTAAGTGTTGGGATGGTGTACCAGTGTCCCATTTCATTCTAATCCTGGTCCTGAATCAATGTCCCAGCCTGAATTGAGCCTGGCTCCTGGACAACCTTCAACCTCTTTGGTTATGGTTCCCTTTCTTGCCTAAAATACAGACCTCAGGTCTTCATTCATTTTTTTTTTTAACCTGCCCTATCTGCACCACACTTCCCTCTGTGGGCCCTAGGTATCCTCAACCCAATCTCTGTGCTTTTTTTATGACAGTAGTCCTGTCCACTGCCTAGGAGATCCTCAATCCCCACTCTACCCTCGCCGAGACACCCGCAGTGGCTTCCCAGGCTGGGTGAGTCTTTCACTAGCTTATTTGTTGCTATGGAGAAGAACACTGATGAATAAGGGCAGGTATGCAGCCCAACTGCCAACAAATATTACTCATAAAAGAGGGTTGGTGTCATTTAGTTCTTATAATTTGCAATTTCTTGGCTCTGACCTTTTGCATTCATAAATGCAGAAAGACTGCAGCTGATGAGCTCATATCAACATGAAAATAGTGGTGACATGGCAATGGGCAGAAAAATATTCAAGGAGCAAAAAGACCCATGTGCAAATCAAAGAACCTGCAGACAAGGAGGAAGCATGAGGTTACCCGGTCCATCCCACTGACTTCAAGAAAACAGCAACTGCTGGAAGATGGTGGCCTGCCATATTCTGCTTTTTTTCCCTTCTGATGCTCTTTGTCTAATAATAATTATAGCTAACATTTCCACGGCACCAACTATGTTTTAGGCATTGAGCTAAGTACTTCATAATTATCTCATCTGATCCTCGTAGCAAAACCAGCTAGGAAGGTGCTATTAATGAACCCTATTTTACAGATGAGGAAACTGAGGCACAGAGTAGGTAAGTAAGCCAAGCTCAGGGTCACACTAGCTATAAGCGTCAGGTTTTCCTGACTCCAGGCCCAGCAGCTCTATCCACTGTACCAACTCGCTGTCCTTGGTTTCTATTACAGACTTAATAATCAACAAAAACAAATAACCAAACATCCAAAATAATGGATAAAATCTTAAAGAAAACCCTTAGCATTTAACAAGGTAGAATCAATAAATTAGCTGATAACAAACAAGCAAAGACCTTCGTTCCTGTGTCCTCTTCCACATCTGCTGGAAAGACTACTACCTCTGGCTGCGTCTGCCCCACCCCTCCCGTAATGTGGAAGCATATAGCACTCAAGCTTGAGCTGTGTTATTTAAATAAACATGTATATGTATATATGTATATATGTATATACACATAAATACATATATATACACATACACACATAAGTGTGTGTATATGGATGGATGAGTGTGTGTGTGTGTATACACATGAGTATATAAAGAATTAATGTTTTAACAGTGTCTTTGGTCTGGTATTTAAATTCTGTTTACTGCCTAGAATCGGGGATGTTGTTGTGTTCTTCCAAAGACATCAGAGGCCTTGAATAGAGGGACTATCCCTCTGGTAACCAAAGGATGTGTCCCTCAGTTTATCATGAACCAGAGTGAGACAGATGACCTGAACCTGATGGAAAGAAGGGATGCTTTATTTTTCAAGATTTTTTTTTCTTCAAAGGTACACCTCTGATATTTTTATTACTATTTTGGTCAATCAAAAAATGCCTTCATTTTACTTTGCTATTATTAAATCCTGTCCTTTGCTTCACGATTACTATAAAATTTAAGTTGGAAGCTGCTTGGGCAGAGAGGGAATTCTGATTAGCAGAGGGAATTCTGATTAGCAGAATGAACTCTGCCAGTCTCTGAACCTATCTCCCAGAAGAAATGCTAGTGCTTTAATAAATTGTCCTTGGCAGTTTCAGGCTAACACACAGTGGAGAGAGTTTTTCTTCCACATAAATAGAGTTGTAGTACACGTCTACATATCTCTGTCCAATGCTTTGTTTAGGCCTTTCCATGGTTTCTTAAACGTTTCACACTTAGAATTTTGCATGGGACAATGATATTCTGTTACAATAATATATCATACTTTTTTTTTTGGTATTTTTCACTCTGAGGACATGTTAGTTTATAGGAACATAGGTTCAGACCTGGAACAGGCCTCCAAGTTCACTGGCTCCAACCCTCTCATTTTACAGATGAGGAAACTGAGGCACAGACAGGTTAAATGACTTGCCTAGGGTCACACAGCTACTAAGTGTCTGAGGTAGGATTTGAATTTAGGCTTTCCTGACTCTAAGCCCAGTACTTTTGCTATTAGAAACAGAACAGAGAGGAGTATTTTTGTATAAATGGGCTAGTTTTCCTTTTTTAAAATAAAGTTTTAGCAATGAAACCCCAGGTCAAAAGGTACAAAAAAAGGTTTGTACCATCTACACCCCACCAGCAATAAGACTACCTATTTCTCCACAGCCTCACCAATGTTAGATTTTATAATGCTATTTTTGGCATTTTAATGTGGTTTTAAAAAAAGTTTTGTTGATGACTTTTTGCCTCTCCCCTTCCCCCATAAACCTGCCCCGTAAAAAGAAAAACGATTAAAGCAAAAACGTCTGATATGGAGACCTTGTCCATTAGTGCACAGGGGGTAGGGAGTTGATAAAGGGACCTTTGAATTTATTAAGTTTCCTTTGCTTACTTGACGAAATTTTAAAATGTAAATGGTAGGCAAAGAGTTTTAAGCTCTTAAAGAAAGTGTAAATATGTGTTTACACTTTACTATTCCTTTAGAACAGGGGGTTCTTAACCTTTTTTTTTTTTTTTTTTTGCATTATAGACTTCTTACTGGCAGTCTGATGAAGCCTATTTTCCTTCCTGGAATAATGCTGCAAACACTCACTAAAGAGTAAGTTGAGATGGCAAGCTCTGAGGAACATTTTAGACAGAGTTCCTCAAGGTAAGGGAGGGTACTTCTTTCTCTCCCCCAACTGTCCATGGTAACATCTGCTGGAGATGTTATTTCTGTCCAGTGAACTGGCCTGGATTAACTCTGGGAGATGAGATAGTTAGTCCTGGCAGAAGGGTGTTGCGATTCAGGGAGAAGGCCCAGGGAGGCAAGCTGGGTGACTTGCACAGCCAAAACATATGCCCAGAAGAGAGCAATGTGAGTCTACCATTACACTGTGACCCCTATAGCACTGAAGGTCAGATTTGCATTGGATACATGTGTTCCCTAAGCGTATGCCTCTCCACTAGTCTGCTAGGGGCTCCAGGTATTTGTAGGAAAATAAGCCTTAGGTGTATGGAAGGAATGTTTTGTAATTATTTTTCATGCTATACCATTTCAGTAAATACCTTTGTTTTGAGCTAACTGTGTCAACTAGCTTACTACTGAAAGAAAAACCATCCATGGGGGCTCACAAGTTTTTAGGAGGGCAGATCCACAGAGTACCTTGAATCTGAAATAACTGCCCTCTGATGCACTCAAACCTGTAAGTTCAAGTTGGGGATGTAGCCAAAGAGGGGGTACCACTTATACAATATTCTGGTTACCTCTCTGCCATAAAGAAGGAGGCATGTTTCATTTATTTATTCTCTAGGGCCTCTGCTGGTTTTTCTACTACTCAAAGTTCAACTCCTTTTTGTAATTTCTACCATAGTTCTAAAAAAGCTTCCAAAGAAATATCACCAGGCTGGGTTAAGGAGAATGGAGGGGTGGTCAAGCCATCTCTATTGATAAAAGCAAAAGGATGAGCTCTCTCAGAGTAAGAGATGCCCCTAATAGGCCCCAAAAGGTATAAATACTTTACTTACACATCTTAAGTTTATACTCTTAGCCACCTGAGGAATGACCCTGATGAGAGATCTCCTTCCTGAGTTATGATGTCTAACCATCCACGTCAGGCTTTATTACTTCAATATTTCAAGGATCTGACATGTGGTTGGTGAAGGTGCTCCTACTACTAATGCATATAACTACCCTCACAGCACTGTAAAAGACCATCTTGCTAAGGTTATATGGCTGAAAAAGACATCATTTACCTGGTGGCCAGCCCTCTGGTAAGAAACCTTTTTACACTTAAGCTGGTCCTCAGATGACAGACTCACAGTCTATAATTGGGCACATAAGTATAGCTTTTCCGCAATGGCAGGATGTTGTGGAGCAAACAGGAGTATCGAATACCCGCGAGGTTATTTTAACTTTTTAAAAAGTGCATTTTTGGAGAGCTACCCTCAGTGCACCGGACAACCTACACCTAAAACCATCGCATACAAACACCAACCTGTGGGGGTCATCAGGATCACAGTTAGGAAGAAATTGTGTGATGGCTTCAGCCACTTCTTCGTTCACTAAAACATCCCAGAGTCCATCCGTGGCTAAAATCAGCACGTCATCTGCACCATGCTCATACTGCGTGAGATCATAGACTCTCACCTGCAATCACAAGAAGAGACAGGATCATGATGTAGGACATGCAGGGGCCCTTTGACCTTGACTCCATCGTCTCGTGACCTCAGAAACCCTGTCTGCTTATACAGTCTTGCACTCCCAAAGACTTCCTTCACACTTACACTCTCTCCTCTTTGGCAGAATAGCTTTAAGAGACTCTACTGGATTAACTGAAAACTTGAGAGGGCTAAGCTGGTACAAATAAATCAGTATAAATGACTTAATCCAATGGACTGTGCCCAACATTTGCTTTCATTTTATTTTTTACCAGGATTGAACGAGAGTGTGTGCTTGATAAATATTATCTGACACTCAAACTCAATTATCTGACACCGTGAGTACTCCCTTCAGATCACATCCCTTCCATGCCTGCCCTTCCTCTGGAACTCTTGCAACCCATTACTGGCTAACAAAGCAATTTTATAACGTGATGCCTGAGACTTTACAAGGAAAACGGTACGCTTCACCAAATTGAAGGAGTTCTCTCAAAAGCCTGAAGCACTGTGTTGAACACACAGTCCTCAATAACGTAGTGAGAATAAGTGTTACTCTGACATAACTGACTCCATTTTGTATTAGGTCACCATTTTGAGATGAAGTATTTTGATGTTTTCTTTTTCATAATTTGTTTTTTCACTATTAAGCTGATAACCATATGTGTGGTATAGGTTGATAAACAACATATGTGCATATAAACAACTAGTAAACATATGGGACCCCCAGATAGGACAGACCACCAATGGGAAAATTTGGCAAACAATTTTAGTTTATGTGATTAGTTTCTATCATCAGACATAAATCAAATTAATTGGTAAACAAATTAGGCCACTAGTCACCAACCAGAACTTGGGAGTAACTAGCTAACACCCATGGCTAAAAATATAAGAAACCCACCAGAGACCCTGCAGCCTTCAGCCTGACCTTGGATTGAGACCCACAGCAGCTCCTGTGTTCCTTACACTTAAGACTCAAGCATTCTCCATGTTTGCTGGAGGGCAGTACTCATTAGCTGACTTCTATTTGCTGACTTGTCAAGCAACCACCTTGAAGGGACACACATGGCCTGTGCCTGGGATGGAAGGGAGTCTTGCCATTAAGTACCAGGATGAGACACATACACTGGGAAGTCTGAGGAAATTGGGTTTGTGGCTTGATCCTAGCAAGATTAATGATTGTACTGTCCAACAGAGATAATATAAACTGTTTGCACATATTTGATTAATAAAGTTTGCTAGCATTGAGAAGCATAAATCTAATTTTCTACTGCATTAGTTAGTATAAATAATGGTAAATCGATTTTGTGTATGCATGTTCTGTTACAAGTAAGTACATGGCCTCAACAAACATTATACAGCACTTACTATTTGTAGGGTGCTAGGTACCTGGGGCACAAAGATTTCAAAACAAAACAAAACATAACACAGCAAAGATCTGTTTCTTCAAGGAGCTTATTCTGTGCCAGGGATGGGGAGGGGCAAGGTTAACCAGAATATTTACTTATTCAGGACCACTCTTCTACAACCATATTAGAGAAAATGAAAGATGGAAGGAGTACAAAGCTCATGGTTAGAGGCAAATACTGACACTGCCAGAATATATCAGATATACTACCTCAACGAAGTCACTAAACCTTCCTGGGCCTCAACTTCCTCATCCAAGAAAAATGGGGCTAACAATACCCACAGGATCGATCTACCCTACAAGGTTCTTTGGGAGTTCAAAGGAAATAAGACATAAACAGCAGGTGGTAAACTTTGATAGACACTCATGCATTTTGGTGGAGCCGTGAACTGGTCCAACCATTATGGAAAGCAATTTGGAATTATGAGAAGAAAGAGACTAAAATATCCATATCCGGGGATAATAATGCTAGGTCTATACCCTCCCTAAGGACGGGGGGAAACCATCCTTCTATATACCAAATATATATACACCAAATACACCAAAATACTTACAGTAGCATTTTTTAGAGAAGCAAAGAACTGGACACAAATTAGATGCCCATTGTTTGGCAAATGGCTAAACAAGCTGAGGTATATGAATGTAACAGAATATTACTTTGCTGTAAGAAATGACTACAGAAAAGTACTAGATGACTTATATGACCTGATGTATAATGAAGCAAGCACAGGCGGGGAAAAGGACATACATAATGACCAAAACAAAGTAAATGGAAAGAACAATAAAATAATACAGGTAGAATTCTGTGAAATTATGACCAAACTTGACTCCAAAGAAGTAATATGAGAAAACCATATCCATTGTCCCTCATCCCCCACTCCTCAGTCTTTTCAGAGCTGAGGGTCTGTGGATATGGAATACTGCAAACATTGGCCTTTTTTGATGTGTTGGTTGGATTTGCTGAACTGGGTTGTTTTTTTTTTTTTTAAATAATTTGTCATTTTAACACTTTGGCGTAAGGGCTGGTTCTGTGTAAAGAGGAAGGGATAGGGTGGAAAATGTAGATGATATAAAAATAAAAGTTATTTATAAAAAATTTATTAATAAGAAAGCCCCCTCTGAGTTCCAGCCCATTGTGGCCTCCTTAATGGAGAGAAAAGTGTTACTTATAAATGGCTCAAGAAAAATCCTTAAGGAAAGATCACACCTGGCTGGCTTTTTTTTTTTTTTTAAATAGATACTCTTGAGAGCAAGACCACCATGAAAATGTAAAGGTTTAAACTCTAGACAGCCAGTTGTGTCTTATGAAAAAAAGTACTGACCTAAGCAAAAGACAAGTCAATTCCTCTGTCCTGGCTTTGCTTCTGACCTTCTGCCCTTTGCCATCATGCCTCAGCTGCTGTCTCACCCTGCACCCTCCCTCAGCACCCGGAGGTTCCTCAGCCTGAAATATCCTTCCATCATGTACGCTCCCATC